AAATTTGGTTTTAAATTATCTGAAATTTTCTAAAATTGTTATTTCGTTGCCATTGTGTTTGCTGAATTATAAATACTCTAATGAAATCGGATTATTTAAGTGCGGGTCGGGCTGTTCCGCCCTTTGTGATACCCGTAATCCAAAATGTGCAAGTGGAGCAAATTTGCGGGTATGATGCATTCCACACCGACCATCTTTAATGCACTAAAAATAATAGATCTAATTTTGCTGATATTTGCAGTCACTCGCGGACGAATAACGAAATTCTCGGACGAAAAATCGAGGTTTTGGAAGAGGAAAATCGGAGTTTGAGGACTGAGGTACAAAGGAGCAGTTTTATTTCTTCAGCTTTTCTTCTAATTAATGGCAGGTTACTGGCTCAGAAAGAAAGTTAAGAACAGTGAGGCAGACCAACTGCTTGGGCCTGTTTTACAAAGAATTAATATAATAGGCGAATAGATATTTCCTTAGATATATGAATGGCCCTCAAAATTGCTAGAGCAGTTTTTCAGTCCCGTCCATAGGCTACCAAAACTAGATAAATTAAAGTAGAAGAGAATCAGCATGCATTGTGAGAAGCGACGCTTTATTGGTCAGTGGACTTGTCTTAAAACAATCACAACAAAAAAAGAGTTTAGGGGAGAATACTTCACTGTGACTGGCTTATTTTTTGTTGGAATGCATCTTCTTGCGGTAGAAATAGCTGGAAATATTTGTGTAGTTGTGAACGAATAAAATTACTATACCTGATGCGGCCAGCTTGCCACTGCTGTTGCTGGTCATCCTAGTTGACCTAAGAGACATCCTTGCTTCCGAAGGCAGATTCGTACCCCCTCCCTCACCGCTAGTTTAGCTCTTTAGTTCATCTAATATTACTCCTACAGGTCATCAGCTTGTACTAGAGTAGATATGCATTCAGCCATCGTACTTTAGTTTTCAAGGACATCACATTATAGGTGTTGGGACACACCAAAAAAAAAAGAATGCTTGTTTTTTAATCAGTTTAAACTTGTTTCTGTTGTTTCAAGTATCGCGAGAAAGTGTTCTTTCTGGAAGTAGGCGTCTTGTCGGTGAAGAAAATTCATCATGAATTATTTGAGTGTTCGTTTTCTTTGTTCCTCCTAACTGAAAATTAATGGCTGTGTAAAGAAAGTACTTTTTTTTGCTTTCAATGTCCACCTGCTGCGATGTACTTTTTTTGGAATTTGCAGACAAAAAATTTGAAGAAGTCTTTCGTAGAGCAGGAGGAGAGAGAACGCTCAAACATCGATGAATGGATGAAACAGCTCGATGCTGCAAATGAAAAGGTTCTTGCACTGCACTGTGTACCTCCTAAAAAAATTCATCAACAAAATGCATTTTCCAGGAGGTTTATTGACCTCTCGAATTGAGTAATTAATTAGCCCAGCTCAGTAATTCTATGGAACCTGTTTTTCGATTTAAAATTACTAATTTATTGGATATCGCAGTTCCGAATTCGTTCGTCCTTGCATGTTCGCGGTGTAATTTATTGCTGAATAGTGGAAAAAACTTTTATCAAAAGTTTTTGTTCAGTGATAAAAATTTTTTATCTGAAAGTCTCCAATGCCATACGCACTTTTAATGGAAAACTGAATTTTGCTACATTCTTGTGGACTTCTGAAAATTTGTGCTGGTGAGCTGGAAAAACGCTGGAGATAAAAGCACGATTTTTATAAACGAATATTGAACACTAAATAAAATCCTGGTGAGGAAACGTAATACCGCTTTTCGGATTTCAAAAGTTGGTAAATTTAGCTTACACAATCAGAAACAGGACTAAACTCTTGCTTTTTTTTTGCCCTTTCTACAGCCTTTCCGTCCAGGAGAAGAAATTAATGTCAGGACCATCAGCAGCCTGACCACTGATGAAAAGAATTGAAAAAGTTACCAGCCACATAGTAGGAGAACCACATTAGGAGTTATAGCTGATCGAAGTAACTAAACAAGTGCAAATGTTTCAAATTAGTCGCTTTTCGAGTCTTCGAGCGATAGAATTCACACAAATGGCAAAGAACTGTAGCCCCCCAGGCACATTCTGTATTTTGTGGGGTTTCAGTTTCGCGTAAAATTATCCACGGTGTAACGCATTTTGTGTGTAACTTTGAACGCCAGATGCGCTGTAACATTTAAATGCACCAAAAATCACATGTGTTAAAACGCAGCCTAATACACTTTTATGTACTTTTGGAGTTTAAAGAAATTTTTGTGCGTTGCTCCCGGTATCTGTCTATATATGTTCCCTGTTTCGTTTACTCTACAGTTATGAGCGAGTAGCAAGAAGTTAA